AAAGCCAGCAGCTCTGTCACAGGAGAAAGGAGCCAGAGGTGGCTCCAGGTGACATCTCTGAGTGACCCTGGGCCAGCCCCACGTAACCCTGAGCACCCACTGAGCCCAGGGCACCCCAAATAGGGGGGTTTTCCCCAGGTGTGGGTGCTCTGTTTGAGGGGGATGCCCCATCCCATGGCCATGGCCTGCTGGGGCTGCTGCACCATGCAAAGCCCAACATGGAGCAGGGCAGTGCCATGACTGAGTGGCCATGGGGGGACTGCACTTTCCTTCTTTTTTTTTTTTTGTCATCTTAGGACTGTTTTTGACACCTTATAGCAAAGATTAGCAGCCTCTCAACATGGTTTCAGCACCAGTCTAGGCAGCTTTAGCCAGTGGTGTGTTTCTGAGGGACTTCCCTGCCTTCCACAGACCTGGCAGCTTGTTCCCACCCTGGCCATCCCTTTTCCAGTTACTTACTCACCCACTTTTTTACTTTTTTGTGTACAGCTCCCCAGCCCAAGGTCACTGTGTGGGAGCAAATATTTTGACCAGTGTGAGTTTTCTGGCATTTTCATGGCTCTGTTGTGCTGGAGTTCTCTGTGGGAAATTCTGCTCTCACAAGAAGTCTTGGAAGGGAATCCAGAGGAGGCTCCAGGATGAGCAGAGGGATGGAGCAGCTCTGCTGGGAGGAAAGGCTGGCACAGCTGGGATTGTTCACCTGCACAGGAGAAGCTTTGGGCTGAGCTCAGGGTGGCCTTGCAGGGCCTGAAGGAGCTGACAAGAAAGATGGAAAGAGAATATTCACAAGGGCCTGGAGGGACAGGACAAGGGAGAATGGCTTCAAACTAACAGAGAGTAGGATTAGATGGGATCTTGGGAGTGAGGAATCATTCCCTGAGAGGGTGGGCAGGGCTGGGATGGAATTCCCAGAGCAGCTGTGGCTGCCCCTGGATCCCTGGCAGTGCCCAAGGCCAGGTTGGACACTGGGGCTGGAGCAGCCTGGGACAGTGGAAGGTGTCCCTGCCATAGCAGGGGTGGCACTGGATGATCTTCAAGTTCCCTTCCAACCCAAACCATCCTGGGATTCTGTGATTCTCTGACTGAGTGCTGAGGCCTCCAAGACCACCCTGGAAATGCTTTTCTGAGTCTCAGCACAGGCTCCTTCTCACCTGGCACCATCTGGCTGTCCCCACTGTGCTTCAAAGTAATAAATTTTGGGGAAGTTTCAGGATTTTTTTTCTTCATAGGCCACTTTTTCAGTGACAAACTCCTTGGGGAGGAAGCGCTGACCAAATTCACCACAACCTGAGTGGCTGCAGTGAATGAAGATGAGGCTGAGCAAGCTTTGCACTGCCCTCACTATGAGCTGACCTTGTAGCAGCCTCTGTAATCCAGGCTGTGCTTACTAAACTTGTGAAGACATGTAGATATTTGGAGAATACATTTTTCCTCATTTATTTCACTCTGAAACTCAGAAATATTGAACAGAGGAGTTTATATTACAGGAATGAATACACCCTACACATGTAGGGTTTTGCTGATTCCTAATCTGAATTTCTCTGACACCTTGCATTTCAGCAAGCACAACACAGGTGTTTTATGTCACCTGGGGAAAATAGTAGCATAGTGAAAAGGAAAAAATGTGCTTCATACACTATTTATGAATTTACATCTGCTTTCATCAGAGTCAATGACTGGCAAAACTCCAGTCAGCTTTGATAGGAATGGGTGATAAATTTAACTATCAAATCAACTTGATTCTAAGTAAAAAAAAGTAAACCCTGCTTTAAGGTGAGGCTTTCAGGTCTAAGGAGAAAATACTTTCTCAGCAGACATTTATCATCTCAAGACTGGACAAAGTGTTCTTGGGTACCATGACTGTGTGTAGTCTCACCTCTTTTTAATTTTTAATTTTTTTTCCTTTTTTGTAAATTCCAGGTGTAACACAGTATATTTACAAAGGGCAAAAATAACAGGCAGCCGTGAAGAAAAACATCTCTGGTTTCATTTCAGACCTGGAGCTGGGGATGAATCACTGCAGAGCTGCACCCTTCATTCTGGGTACACTTTCCAAAAGCTGCTTTTCCACCCTGCTGCGCTGGTGGTACAGAAATAAAGCAGACTCACAGAAAGTCCTAAAAAACCCCTTTGTGGACAGTCACTCTCTTGTTGTTCTGGGCACTAGAAACACCATTTTCTAGCGTCTGCTTGCATTTTCAGTTTTGCTTTCTGTGCTGTAGAAGTTTGTTCCAGGCAGCTGAGTTAAGCCCTGGCTCAGTGGTTTAGGGCACTCTCTCAATTTGAAGTACCAGAGTAGTCCTGTTAAATCCCATGGAGTTGATTCCATGCCTGAAATTAAGCGTGGCCTTAGGAGATTTGATGGATGGGGGATTTGCTTGTCCACCCAGTGAGCTAAAGGGACAAAACTCTTGACCATCTGCTTCTGGATTTTAATGAAAAGTTATGACTTATTTATGATCTTCTTCCCCACCCCTGTGTGTTTATATTCAGATCAAGAAAACCATCTCAGAAGCCCTGTCAGATTGCCAAAAGCTCTGTGCTACTGGATCTTCCACATCATTTACTGCTCAGTGTTTACAAGAGTGTTTTTAATGCACCATTGCTTGTAGAAGTGCTGTGGGCTGCTACTGATGGGATATTTCACTTTGGAGTCCCTTTAGCCCAAGTTTCTTCCCCCAGAAAAAAAACCAAAGAAACCCAAAATTAAATAACTGTGCCAGTAAAACTAAAGAATGTTGCTAGCTCTCTGTTTCCTAAAAATTCAATGAATAAGCCAAATAGTCTTTGTAACAGAATTGCTTTTGGGAGTTGGGGTCCACATCTGCACAGGTATAAGGGCAGGTGGTGGAGGATGTTTCCAAATGTCCATGATTTAAAGTGCAGGTTCACTCATGCCTTTATGCCATTTGTATTTGTGGAAGGGAAGCAGAAAAGGGCAACATTTCACTCACAAGGAATCATCACAAAAGCTCTCCTTCAGATTTTATGTCTGAAACAAAAAGCAGCTTTGTTTTGCTCTGTTTGGACAGAAATGGGCTGCATCCCAGGGTTATATTTAGTGGTGTGTGGTAGGAGAGCAGAACTAAACCTGAGAAAATATTGCCCAAGTGCTCTGGTTATGAGAGGAAGGGCTGAATTCACCACCATGCAGTGGCAGGTGCTGACTGTGTTTTCCCTCATGGTTGTTTTTCAGTCCTGGGGCTGACAGAGCAGTTGCAGGGCTTTTACACAGGGCAGATTTCATAGGGGATGTCTTTAGAGGCATCCTGGAAAAAGTGTGTGAAGCCAACATTTTCCAGGCAACATTGGAGGCCCTCATCCTTCTCCTAAAGATGATGTTGCCAACCATTGAATGATCTCAAAAAAAAAAATATTGCCAACCATTGAATGATCTCAAAAATAAAAAATATTTTATTTTTTAACTGAAAGTCAGCAGCAGATTTTTTTCCTTAACACAGAAGGGTAAAATTAGTAGAAACACTGCATAGAAAAAATAATGCTATGCTTAATATTTTCTTTTAGTATTTAAGATGTACACTAATTTTTCAGCTTTCCAAGTGTTGGTTCTTTTTTTAAAACACTCATGTGAGAATTATAACTGGATTAGTTCCTGAAGCATGATAGTGCTGAGCAGTCAACACAACTGAGTCATAGGGCTTTGAAGGGCTCCAAGAGAGCTGGAGGGGGACTTTGGAAAGGGCCTGGAGTCACTGTACAGGGGGGAAAGGCCTTAAACTGAAGGAGGAAAGAGTTAGGTGGATATTGGCAATGAGGAATTGTTCCCTGGCAGGGTGGGCAGGGGCTGGGATGGAATTCCCAGAGCAGCTGGGGCTGCCCCTGGATCCCTGGCAGTGCCCAAGGCCAGGCTGGAGCAGCCTGGGACAGTGGGAGGTGTCCCTGCCATGGCAGAGGTGGAGCTGAGTGATTTTTAAATTCCCTTCCCACTCAACCCGTTCTGTAGTTCCATGATTCCATGAATCTATGACTTGCCTCTTGTTTAGTGAGACCACAGCACAATTTCAGGAGTTAAACGGCAGGACTAAAGGAAAGCTTGTTAGTAATGAGGTATTGCTGAAGAAACCAATCCCCAGCTAACACCCTTCTTCCCTTGCCAAACAAACTCTTTACATTTAAAGGTATTCCCCGTGGCCGAGTTCTTTATTTTGATTTTTGTAACAATTTTTCTCCCTCTGATGAAACACGTTGTAGACATTAAATTAAGGGACAAATATGTCTGTGTCTGCCAGAAAGAAAACTGTGATGCAATTAAAATGCCATTAGGGAAGCCCCTGTGGGATGTTAAACCTAAAGACTCCATTCAGAAAGCAAAGCCAAAATTAAAGAGGTGTCTGGTTGCAGATCCTCTGCAGATTTCCCTGTCTTGACTACAGTACCATGGAGACTGAGCTAGTCAGGAGCTGAAAGGTTTTTCCAGTCATGCGTGTGGTATTTTAAATCATGGCTTTGGCAAATGTTGCCTTTTTTTTTGTGAGCCTTACGTAGAAATGTGAATACATTGCATGACATGAAGTGCAACTGAGTGTGGAACAACGGTGGCCGTGGAGGTGGGCAGCTCTCCAAGCCTTGGACTGCTTGGACAATGGCAACTAAGAATAGTTTTCCCCGAAAAAAATATGCAATAAGTGCATTTCTGTGTTTCTCAGTTGTCTGTGAGATGTTTGGAGAGGGAAATGCAGCTCCTTGCAGCCACCAGGCTGAACAAGGTCATGACCAAGCCTCCATTCCATGTCTGGAATTAAATTATCATTATTTATAATTTCTGGAGAGATATGAGAGCCTGATCTTTAGGCAATAGAAATAAATCTATGGTCCATTGAACCTGGTTGGTGTTTTTAGACAACTGAAGGAATCTGCAGAGTCACCGGGTGGGAGGTACTGGGCTTTCCAGTTTTCCATTTCATTCCAGGTGATTTTCTTCTGATGATATTAATAAGGACCGGAATAATAATGGAAGCACACCTTTCCTGTCTGCCTAGGAATTCTCCAGATGACTGCAGCGTGGCAAAAGGAGGGAAGATGGTCAGCAGCTCGGACAGTGTTGGGATGAACTATGGAAGCTACATGGAGGAGAAGCACGTTCCACCCCCAAACATGACGACCAACGAGCGAAGAGTCATTGTGCCAGCAGGTCAGACCCTCTGCACCAAAACTGCAACCTAAAAAAAACTGCATTTCCCTCAAGCCCACTAAGATTATTTGAGAGGGTTTGGAGAGAAGTAGTGATGAGGAGGAAAAGAGCAGTAGTTTGTAGGGGTTATTGAGAGAATGAGCTGAGGAGGATCAGGGAGGACACCTCCTCAATCTGTTCTTCCCTTTTCAGCAGCAGAATGGGCTGATAAGAGGCACTCCAGATCTTATCTGACTCCTGTAGCTCCTTCTTGGAGGATTTCACCCTAAAGTGAGCAAAAGGAAGAAGCACCTCCATTTCTTATCCCTTGGACAAGCTCTTGTGTGGGATAGAGAGAGAAAGGATCCCTGTAGCACAGGTTATCTTTGAAAATACCAAAAAGTAGCTTCTGTGGGATCAAACAGGGCATGAAGAGCCTTTATGTGGGTTATTCTCTGAGTCTGGGCAGCATAAAATATTTAATAAGCAAACTGACAACTCCAGTGCAATGTAAGAGCACAATTGAGAAATTCTTGGTCAGCCTTGGCAGGCTTGGCTGTGGGATTCAACAGTTGATGGGACAAGGAGGCTGCTGCCTTCTTGTCACTTCTGGCTGCCTTGTTTTCCAAACAAACCTGGAATATTCTGCAGAATAATTAGCATGCCTGTTTCCAAGTCACAGCATCCTGGCATCTGTGGGTGTTCCTAAACCACAGGACGGGCACAGGGTAAACTCAACACCTGCAGCCAGGAGGGAATGTTTTGCTGCTGGTTCCTCTCCAGCAGAGAGGTGCTTGTGCGAAATATTTCTGCCTCTGCCATGTTGCTTAATATTATTACAGTTTTTCAGTTGCTTAGACATGCAAGAGTACTGACTGTGGCCAATTTTGCAAGCTGTGATTATTTCAGTTATTTGTCAAGAAAGGTGTGGACAAAGCTGTTGCAGTGTCCTCCTCTGCAATGGTGTTGTCAATTCTGTCCTGGAGACAGGAGAGTGATGCTCTGAATAATAAATGTCCTGCCAACACTGAAATGCAGAGCTTTTGAATGTTCCAAAACATTTCTCTCCCTAATGTTTGGCACTTTTTAAAAAAAGACCTTTAGTAATTCTTAGCATGGTTAGCTCAGCAAGGGATTTTTTTTTATTTGGTGTATTCCTGGAGGTGTGTTTGAGGTGGGTTTGAATGACTATCAAGGAGCAAGCTGGTCACAGTCATAGTCTTGCCATTTTGAAGTCACTTGAAGAAATTCATGCGCAAAAATCAGTTGGTTTTGATTATTGCACAGGCAGTGTGCAGGTCATGTGGTGAAGTTAGAAGTAAAATTCACATTTCCAGCTGTTGTAACTTTCTATTTATCATCATTAAGGGTTGTTTAAAAATTACAGACATAATGAAAATATTTTGGTAAATTTCCTGGTGTTTGGTTGTTTACCTCAGAGCAAAGTGAAGTTCTCAGAGTTCTTTGCTGTAGGTGTGGGCAATCTCATTCAGACCTAAGATTTGCCACCAGACTTGCATCCCTCTAGATTCTTGCTTATTTCATACCAGATGGAGGCATTATTTTAAATGTTTTTTGGTGGAATTCAGGAGGTCTCCACCTCTTTCAGACCAGCCTGAACAGCAGTGAAAATAGAGGGATTGGCCCTGAAGTTAAGCCATAGAAAAGCTATTTAGGCTGCCATTCATGTCCCAGATTTTCATGGGATGAACCTTGGGACCCAGTTGACCTCCACATGCTCCATTCTCAGCCTTGAAGATATCACAAAAACACAGAGTCATTAAGATGATAAGGAATAAAGTCTTGAAGAATTCTTTCCCCTTGGCTTTAATCTTTTCCCTGCAAAAAGTATAAATTCTTTGTGGTATGAGCTGAGGGACCGTTGTGTTGGTTCCTCACTCAAGAACAAGGAAAGATAGAATGGGAGAGAAATAGAGAATGAGGTGTTTAGAGGGAAAAATTAAAAAAACCTTAAATTAAAATCAAGGATTAATTTAAAAACATTTTGCTAGAAATCTCAGCTGTTTGGGGTTCTTTTCCCCAGATGGTTTTGCCAATACTTCAGGTATTGAGTGCAAAACCACACAGGTGTAGCAATGTATAACACAGCAGCCTGGGGAAAAAAATGCAGAATATTTTAATATTCTAATATTATTAACTAGAGAGCCACTCTAGTTTGTGAAATAACTGCCTGAATCTGTGAGTGGTTATTTATCCTGTACCCAAGAAAGATTCTTTCAGACATGAGTGGAAATGTCACTTGAATAAAGATAAGGATTGAACAGAGAGTTTTGAAACTTGTTCAGCTCCAGCTTGCAGTGCTGTCAGTGGGCCAGAAGCTCTGTTAAAAATAGCTAAAAACAATGGCTAAAAAGGCCTAAAAACAATGAGGCAGAAGAGCTGAGTGGGAGAAGGAACTCACTCACAGAATTCCCAGAATCCCTGGGTTGGAAGAGACCTTCAAGACCACCGAGTCCAGCCCAGCCCCAACCCCTCAACTGAACCCTGGCACCCAGTGCCACATCCAGGCTTTGTTAAACACACCCAGGCATGGGGACTCCACCACCTCCCCGGGCAGCCATTCCAGAACTTTCTCACCCTTGCTGGAAAAACCTTTTCCCTGCTCTCCAACCTGGATTTCCCTTGGTGCAGCTCGAGGCTGTGTGCTCTGGTTGTGTCAGTGCTGCTGGAGAAAGAGCCCAGGGCCAGCTGAGCCCAGGCACCTTTCAGGAGCTGTGCAGAGTGAGGAGGGCAGCCCTGAGTCTCCTTTGCTCCAGGCTGAGCACCCCCAGCTCCCTCAGGGCTTCCTCACAGGGTTTGTGTTCCCAGCCCCTCCCCAGCCTCCCTGGCCCCTCTGGATGAGCTCGAGTTTCTCAAGGTCCTTCCTAAATTTGAGGCCATTTGCTCTCCTCCTTTCCCTTGGGACATGGCAGCAAAGCCCAATCTCCCCTGAGTGCCCCTTCCTGTCAGGGAGTTGTGCAGAGCAATTTCCAGAATTCCCAGAATTCCCAGAATCCCTGGGTTGGAAGAGACCTTCAAGACCATTGAGTCCAGCCCAGCCCCAACTGAACCCTGGCACCCAGTGCCACATCCAGGCTTTGTTAAACACACCCAGGCATGGGGACTCCACCACCTCCCTGGGCAGCCATTCCAGAACTTTCTCACCCTTTCTGTAAAAAAACTTTTCCCTGATATCCAGCCTATATCTCCCTTGACACAGATTTGTTCCCTTGACAGGCTTTGTTGTGTAGCACTCAGAGCTCTCAGCCCTCCACAGTTGCTCTCCCTTGCACTCAGCACACCCAAATTAACTCCTCCAGCAGTCAGTGAAGGGGGGATTATTTTGCATGGATCCAGTGCCTCAGAATTGCCCTTCCCTGCCTGATTTTTTGCTGTGTGGCCCTGCAGACCCCACGCTGTGGAGCACTGACCACGTGCGCCAGTGGCTGGAGTGGGCGGTGAAGGAGTACGGGCTGCCGGACGTGGACATCCTGCTCTTCCAGAACATCGACGGCAAGGAGCTCTGCAAAATGACCAAGGATGACTTCCAGAGGCTCACCCCCAGCTACAATGCAGACATCCTCCTGTCACACCTACACTACCTCAGAGAGAGTAAGCCAGCCCTGCGTCGTGCCTGCAGTCGGTCCCAGATTGATCGCTCTGGATAATTGGGTTTTCCAAGTGTCTGTTGCAAATGTTGCTGTTCCTAAGAGCATGACAGGGAGGCCAGCCCAAAGATTCCCATTAATTTCACTCATGTTTATTATCAAAGAGAAGAATTAGGGACTCTTTCTAGGTATCCATCTCAGAGAAAAATTGAGTTGAAGCAAACTGAGCAGGAAGAAAAAAAATTGAGTTGAAGCATATTGAGCGGGACGAAAAAATCACATGGGGTTCAGTGCTGATGTTTTTTCTGGTCACATACTCATTTCTTTCCATTTTAACTAAACAAGAGTGCAAACATTGATTCATAAAGTGAATTCCAGGCATGATTCTAAGGAATGGCAGGAGTTTGCTGTACTCTGGGTAGGATTGGGAAGATTCAACTGTATTGAATAAAAAAAAATTCTGTAAATTCATGGAAAAAAAGGAACAGTCCCTGAAGTCCAAATGCAAATTGATTGTAGTGCATGGCTAGAATTTCAATGGGAAAAAAGGGATTACCTGGATTGAGGGCTTTCACCTAAGCTTGAGGAAAATTTGCCTCAGTTTAAAGAAGTTAAAATGAACATGGTTTTTAGAGAAAAAAACACCAAGCATTGCAACACCAGTGCGGTGCAGTCTCCTCCACACGCACACTGTCAATAACCAGCCAGAAATTTTGTGCATTCATAACAATAAATTATGATATTGGACAAATGAATGCCCTAATTTACCCTGTAGCCCACACACCTCCCTCCAAACTGCAGGCTGTTGATAGATTCACATTCAGGCAATCCTGTCAGGGGAAAATATGGTTTAAAAAGATAATTCACGATTTTTTTTACATTTTGGTGTTGCTTTTTGTTTTGTTTTGTAGCTCCTCTTCCACATTTGACTTCAGATGATGTTGATAAGGCCTTACAAAACTCTCCACGGTTAATGCATGCTAGAAACACAGGTAATGCTGGCACTGCTCCCACTGCTGTAGGTCATCATCTTCTAAAAGCACAGGATTCCTTTCCATGGGCTGCTTGCTAAAAAAATGGAAGTGGTAAATCAGGAGGGAGGCAAGAGAGTCCCCTCCCTTCTGTCTGTGTGTTTTCTGCACAGACACACTGAGAAAAGGTGAGATCACGCAGGGCCAGGCGGCGCAAAAATGGTGCAGAAATTTCTGGTGTCCTGCAAGAGGATGGGGTCCCTTACACAGCATAAAACTGCAGGTTTGGGGCCTTTCATCTGAGGATTTTTATGGTCCTTCTGTCCATTCTACTGTAAGATCTACTCCATGGATCCCTAGAAGCTTCTTGGAGCTCAGAAGTGCTTTGGGCTCTGGGGAATGGGGATGTCTCCCCTCCCATGACCTAAATGTTGTGGGAATAAATCAATAAAATTGCTCTTTAGGCAGTTATCTCATCTCATCTCATTTTCTAGCTGCTGTGGGACTTGAGCTGGGAATTCCACTAAGTCTGATCTGAATTTAAAATTATTTTTGTTGATACTCACCCTTCTGTTAATTTGGCCCAGAAAAGTGTTGAGTGTAGGCAGGAGGAGAATGACACATGCCTCATCTGTCTTTCAGGATGCAAATTAAAGTATTTATGAAAATAATTCAGAATCTATTTTGACTTGCTGTAACAGTTGTGCAGCAGAGGATGGCATGGAATGGTACAAATAATAATGTGGTTTATATCCCTACAAAAGATGTTTGGAATATTGCATGATCATGCCTGAGGGTGTTAGTTACCTACAGTGACCAGAAAGAACAATTCTCTATGAGAAAGGAAAAAGATAATACAAAGGATAATGCAAAAGAAAAAGAAAACAAAACTTGGATAGCAATGTTTCTTTCATATTTTATTTAGTTTTTCACTCTGAGTGAGTTTCATAGCAAAATTCACTGGATTAGATCTTTCCCTGCCATGAGAGGTTTGCCACTGGTCACAGTGGCAAACAAAGTCCTGCTGTGGGCTCTAGGCCTACTGCAAACCCCACCAAAGGCAACAACAAAAATTTTCCACTTACTTTGATGTGGTTTGGATAAGATTGAAGTCCTTTTTAAAAATAGATGGACTTGATGGTCTTTTCCATCTCTGGCTTTAGAGATTCTCATTTGCCAAGCAGCTTCCACTTGTGGATATCCAAGTGTTGTTCAGCAGTTCTGTGTGTTATCTTTTTCTCTATGTGTGCACTGACAATGATTTTCTGAAATTCATTTCACCAAAACGAGATTATCTGTCATTGGGGAGTGTGAATAATGGTGTGCTGGTCATCAGCATATGGGAAATCAGTTGTTCAATTTTCAGTGGGCCACAAAAGAGTTAGAAAAAAAGTTCTTGAAATCAAGCAGTAATTGACTTTTTTGATCTTCCTGGAGAGGGTCATGAGAAGTCCATTGGTGTAGTCAGAGCAATTTCAATGCCTGAGAAAAGGGAGATTCCATTTCCTACATCAGGCTCAACATTTCTCCTTTTTTTTTTTCACTCTGAGGAAGATTAATGAGCTATCTGAGGGTCTGACCCAAAAGTCTCTGTTGAAAATACGGACTTTTCTGGGAATGCACTAATGAAGGCAAAGAGGTTTTATTTCAGGGGGTACAAAGCCACCTTCCCAGGTGGAGGTGGTTGTGGTACAAGGGATTTCCTGAGCTTGACTGTCTCCTTCTTAAAACAGATTTTGCACAGACTTTTATCCAGTACTTTGAATGGATTTACACAGATGTAAAAGATTATTGGAATGAACTTTTGTATCTAACAGTCCAAAGGCAGAAATTAGTTACTCAGATTCCTCACTCATTCACTCTACAGGAGGGGAAAATATTGGTGGATTTAGGGACTGTGGAAATGAATCTTTAGGTGTTATGTCCTCTTCTTTCTCTTCAGGAGGTGCCACTTTTATTTTCCCAAACACATCAGTTTATCCAGAAGCAACACAAAGAATTGCAACCAGGCCAGGTATGAACAATGACCACTTGTTGTGTGCTGTGATCTTACTAATTTCATCTCTTGAAATATCTCATTCTTTTTCCTTTTCATAAATATGAGACTCTATTTTGAACACACACATTATGTACTTATATCACATATATATGTGTCTATGTAATTGTGTAGGGTGAAATAATTAGAGTGAAATAATTAAGTAGAGTTTAATAAGTCCATTTCTTTCACAAACCTCTGTCTTTGAAGCAATGGTATCAACTTCTTAAAGCACCAGGGAATCAGAAACCTGAGCTCTGTTCTCTGGTTCTGTTGCACTGTCCCAGCACAGTCACCTGTCAATCCCCTTCAGCTCTCTGTTTGCAAAATGAGGAAAAAAATTCCCTTTTATTTGAAGTCTGTTGTGGAAAAACACCCTGAAAATGCAGAATGTATGCTTCTCCTGCTGTCTACATTTTATTTATATTTGAGGCAAGCAGAACCCACAACAATCTGATTGTGAGTTTAAGAGTGTTCAGTAAAATCAAAACATAAGGAAGTTCTTAAAGCTCAAAATTTTGAAACCTGTGAAAGTTTTGTGGATGTGTTGATTTGTGAAAGGCTGATAGGAATAATCAAAGAAGGTGAGGACATGGCTATGAAGGCAAAGATTTTCTTTTTATCACCTTTCACCACAAAAAATGCTGGAAAAATGCCTAAACCGGGCATTTGCTTTTCCAAGAATGAGTGCAGAGTACTAAGGGACATGAAGAGGAGTTGCAGCAAATACTGAATTTAAAGGAAACCCATTACTGAGCCAGAGGCAAAAATCCAAGTGCTCAGAAGGGGCATGCACTGGAATTGGCTGAGCTCTGGTGAAAAGAGATATTGGGACATTAAAAAAGGGGGTTTGAGCAGGAATTATTTTATTTGTGCTCTAGAGTAGAGTGCAGGAGGGTAGATACAGATATTATTTAATATAGCCTTGCATACATGTATATATGCGTGTCTGTAGATTTGGTAATTGATAATTTGAAAAGAGAGAAAAAGAAAAAACTACCAGTCCATTACATCAACAAATTCAACTTGTTTGGATCCTTGGAAATCAAACTCTGCTAGATTTGTTTGTTTATATTAATGGCTAAAAAGGGAACTGCTGATCAGTGCATACATTTGGCTTTCATAAGGCATTCACCAAAGCACCCCACAACTATTTACAATAGAAATTAAATCAGTGTATCATAAGAAACAAATTAAGAACTGGCTAATTATCCTGTCATCAGTAATGGACATCTTAAGTTATTTTGGGATTGTTCAGCCTGGGGAAGAGAAGCTTTGGGGTGATGGAATTGTGGCCTGAAGGAGCCCCAGGAAACATGGAGAGAGAGAATTTCCAAGGGATGCAGGGACAGGACCCAGGAATGGCTTCAAACTGACAGAAAGTAGGATTAGATGGGATATTGGGAATTAGGAATTGTTCCCTGGCTGGGATGGAATTCCCAGAGCAGCTGTGGCTGCCCCTGGATCCCTGGCAGTGCCCAAGGCCAGGCTGGACACTGGGGCTGGAGCAGCCTGGGACAGTGGGAGGTGTCCCTGCCATGGCAGGGGATGGAACAAAATGATCTTTAATGTCCCTTCCAACCCAACCCGTTCCATGATTCTTTGATTTTGTTGTTACTTAAACCCAGAGATTCCTATCCAGGATTCCTGTCCAGGTACCCAGGAAGTTCATTAGGGAGAAACAACTTGGCAATCAATTAACAACTGAAAACACAAGCTGATAAAGCAGCCCAAGGCACAATTTATTTGCATATCTTACTGATTCCAAATTAGCCCCCTTCACTCATGAAGGAACAACTTAACAGAGTCATCTTTATTTATGGCACAGTGGCAGCCAAAGTGAAAGTGAACAAATGAGGAACCACAGTGGAAAATCCCATGGGAAATGTGGCTGTGCCATTAAAGACCCCAGCAGTGTGGCCTTGCATGGAAAGCTGTGTCAATCATCCCTTATCAAAAAGGCTTTTTGCAGAGTTTGGAGGTGCTTAGAAACGCCTGGGAAAGCCATGGGAGTATGGAAAAAAAATCTTTGGAGCATGTTGAGAGATACAGAGGTTTGAAATTGTTCAAATCACAGTCTGAGGTTGAGGAAACTTGATGTAATTATCAAAATAAAGAGAGTGACAGAGCACCTGCTTAGTGTCAGTATAAGAAGAAGTGATATTCTAAATAAATTAAACATTTTCATGGAGCATTAAAGCAGATTAGGGTACCCAGGAGCTCTCAGGGACACTGGGGAATGTCAGCACAAATAGGGATGAGAAAACAGGGCAGAA